GAATTTGGTGTGTGTATATATATATATATACACACACACACACACACACATACACATATATATGTATATATATACACACACATATATATATATATATACATATATATATTAATCCCACCCCAGGACGTGTTTTTATTGATTTTAGAGTGAGAGGGAGAGAGAGAGAGAAACATCAATAGGTTGCCTTTCATACACATAGGGGATCAAGCCTACAACCTGGATATGTGCCCTGACCTGGAATCAAACCCGCAATCCTTTGGTGCACAGGATGATGCTGTAACCAGCTGAACTACACCAGCCAGGGCTTGTATTACTAACTTTAAGATACAGTTACTTTAGAATTTTCTGGAAATTTTTCTCAGAAATGTTTGTATTTGCTAATGCTTTAATTCTTTAAAATTTCCTGTAGTCTCAATCTTCTGTTTTCTATGATCACACCATGTATATAAGGTGTCCCAAAAAATGTATACATACACTTTGAATAATTAATTATAAAGGCAGTGTTTATTAAAATACATTTCCTTTTCAAAATTGAGCTATCAGGCTGTTAAAGTGGATATACATTTTTGGGGGACACCCTGTATTCCTTTCTCTGTTTGCCTTTGCCCCTTTTTTGGTCATATGAAGTCTATATACCTCTCAAAGGCAGATTTATCTCCATTTCCTCCATAAAGCTTTTTCTAATGCTTTACTTTTTACAAAGAACTTCTTACATCCATTATCTTATTTAATTATATACACCCTATTTAGGTCATAAGCTCTCTCTATGTTAAAGGTGAAATACATCTAGATAGATGACAGTACCACAGAGTAAAACTGTTTCAGTGGTAAAGACAAAATACAAGATATTCAGGTTGCATGATGCCTAATCTGGTATTCTTTTCACTAAATAACTCCACACTAGTAAATGTTGTTTTGTGAATTCTGTGGTACTGACACAGTGCAGCAGTTAAACTGTTTACATATATAAAAAGCAGCAGTCAATTCAGTCCCTCCACCTAAAAATAGCAGTGTCTTCACTATATTTATTCAGTAAATTTATTCAATGGCTATTTATTGTGTATTATGTGCCAGGCATTTTATACTTCACATGATCTTTAGCATATTGCCAGATGGATAGGGTTATTTTGAAGATTTGTTTTAAATCAGCCAAGCTGAATACAGTGTTTATATACAAGTCAGGGGAAAGGCCTTTCAGAAGCAGTCTTCTTACTTAGCACACGATATATATGTGTCACAAGATTAACCTAGGGCCGTGGTCGGCAAACTGTGGCTCGCGAGCCACATGCGGCTCTTTGGCCGGTTGAGTGTGGCTCTTCCTAAGCCGTAGGAGTACCCTAATTAAGTTAATAACAATGTACATACCTATATAGTTTAAGTTTAAAAAATTTGGCTCTCAAAAGAAATTTCAATTGTTGTACTGTTGATATTTGGCTCTGTTGACTAATGAGTTTGCCAAACACTGACTAGGGCAGTGATGGCGAACCTTTTGAGCTCGGCGTGTCAGCATTTTGAAAAACCCTAACTTAACTCTGGTGCCGTGTCACATATAGAAATTTTTTGATAGTTGCAACCATAGTAAAACAAAGACTTATATTTTTGATATTTATTTTATATATTTAAATGCCGTTTAACAAAGAAAAATCAACCAAAAAAATGAGTTCGCGTGTCACATCTGACACGCGTGTCATAGGTTCGCCATCACTGGACTAGGGGAAGGTAACAGAATGGGTAAATAGCAACCACTTTGTTAACTGAAAAATAAGTCTTAGCCTTGTAATCATTGCTCTTAGTAATCATTGTCTCTTAGTAATTATTGCTTCTCCTAGGATAAAATAAAAAGAAATAGAGAAGCTTTGGGTTTGTATCATGTCTGTGCATATATAGCATTTAGACAGGAAAATTTTCCCATTTTCTTTCTTGTATTTCATGGTTTGTTTCTTTATTTCAAGGATTTTTAGGCTTTTAAAAAAATATATTTTTATTGATTTCAGAGAGGAAAGGAAAGGGAGAGGGAGATAGAAACATCAATGATGAGAGAGAATCATTCATTGGCTGCCTTCTGCACGCCCCCTACTGGGGACTGAGCCCACAACCCGGGCATATGCCCTTGACCAGAATTGAACCTGGGGCCCTTCAGTCTGCAGGCCAACGCTCTATCCACTGAGCCAAACCGGCTAGGGCTTTAGGCTTATTTTTGACTTTTGGTTTAACTTTAGTAGTGCAATGTTTACTGCACATAACTTATCAGTAAAATAAATGTGCACTGATGCATGGCTCATCTTTTTTATTAACCCTAGTTGCTTTTGTGCTTCACCCCCATGGTAATTGGTTTTATGTTCTAGAAGCTGGGTAAGAGGCTTCTCCTAGGGACACTTAAGTATATGTAGCAAAGCATTATTTTGAGAAACTAAAGTTATGAAATCCTTCAGAAAGCATGTTGAATAATTAGGATAGATATCTAAAATCTTGGCAGCCAAATAAGGCAAACCTTTCTGGTTGTTTAGCAGCTAGAAGTAAGATTTCTAATTGGTGGGAACCATAGCAGAAAGGGTTTGTTTTTGTTTTTATTTTTTTTACATCACAGTATTTGAATTTTATTTTTCAGAATAGCAAATAATTTGGCTATTTTTTTCCTTGAATCTATCAATATTGATCTTTAAAAGATTAACTTGGAAGTGGTTTGCTATTGGCATCAGAAGTAGATAAAGGAGAGGCAAGTTGCCTGCCTTAGGTTCATTTGTTCTGCTTTGAAGTAAAAGTTAAGGTATTAGTTTACTTATTCCTCCGAGATAAATTACTAAAGTCAGAGAGTTTGTAAGAAAAAGATGTATCGATAATTCTAGCATAACTTACCCTTTGCTGATATGCCTACGCCTCTACCCAAGTTAAAGTATTTTTCTTTCCTTTCCAAATGTTGCAGATTAGAAATGTAATGATTACAGCTATTTCCAGTACAACAACTTGTTCAAATACAATAATTGAGATTATTAGAACATAATGTAATATAATAATAGGGTTCACATTATTATCAATAATCAACTTATTTTGGACTATTTTACTTTCTAAGCTGTGGCTTAGTTGGTTTGGTGTTTTTAGTTTTCGTCATATTACTTTAGTGTGTAAAACAATTGGTCATTCCTTCATTGGGCACTTGTGGGTTAACTTAATGTAAAAAATTTATTAAAATGCTTTCTTAGAAATATGGTAGTTATCCAAATGTAATTTTGAGCATATGGTAAAATATTTGCTATTTTAAGGAATACATGCTTTTATATGAATCTGAAATTGTGTTGTAAGATAAACATTTAAAGTTTTGTTTACAGTTAAATGTTGCTGTGAGTCTTCTTTTACTGCTAGGCTATCACTCTAAAGCAGGGGTCCTCAAACTACGGCCCGCGAGCCACATGCAAATACAAATATTGTATTTGTTCCCGTTTTGTTTTTTTACTTCAAAATAAGATATGTGCAGTGTGCATAGGAATTTGTTCATAGTTGTTTTTTTTAAACTATAGTCCGGCCCTCCAACAGTCTGAGGAACAGTGAACTGGCCCCGGTTTAAAAAGTTTGAGGACCCCTGCTCTAAAGCATGTGAGTGGTTCTTAAATTGTAGTCCCTGCACCAACGGCATCAGCATCACCTGAAAACTTGTTAGAGATGCAAATTCTCAAGCCCCACTCCAGACTTGAATCAGACACTCTGGGGTTGGTACTCGGCAATGTTTTAATAAGCCCTTCCAGATACTGGTACAGACTCCAAGTTTGAGAATCACTACCCTCAGGCTTTGTATGTGGTAAATTCACACTGCTTTGACTGAAAGTGACCTACTTCTACACAGGTTTTATTTTTTAAAGCTGTAAATTAAAACATCCCTTAATTTTTTGTATTACTGGGACTATAATGCTTATTACTTTGCTTATTCGTTATGATATTTAACTTGGGGAAATGTAGGTTCTATCTTCGTGTTATTACTTCAGGGAGTTTTGCTGTATTTGCTTGGTGTAAATAAGATTTTTCCCTTTATGGTATTCCTGTTTTCAAGCTAACACATGCTTAATTTTAGATTAGGTGAAGATCACATATTTTAAAATCACTTATTTAAAAAAAAGTTACCTTGTTTTGATTACATATAGCACAAATATTAACTTATTTATTAAATGTAAATTATTAAAGTGGTTGGCCATTGTCTATGTGACAACTATGAATTCTTTTTTTGTTTGTTTGTTAATCCTCACCAGAGGATATTTTCCCATTGATTTTTAGAGAGAGTGAAAGGAAGGGGGAGAGACAAAAAGAAAACATGGATGTGAGAGAGACATACCAATTGGTTGCCTCCGCATGCGCCCAGACCAGGGCCAGGGATCGAGCCTGCAACCGAGGTACGTGCCTTGACCGAAATCAAACTTGCAGGCCGACCAATGCTCTATCCACTGAACCAAACCAACTAGCGCTATGAATTCAATTTTAACGGATAAGAAGGAATGAATAATTTGAAACTAACTAGTTTTGTAGTCTTCCTTCTTTTATTCTGAGATGCCTAAAAGGGGAGTGTGTGTTTTTGTTTATTTTGTCTGTTAATATACATTTAAGCTCATGAAAGTGTATGTCTTGAGGTTATATTTTCTTGTACTGTTTTGAACAGTGTGCCTTAAGAATGAACTGAGTTACATAAAAAATCAGTTCTTTTTATTGGCAGCTCTTAATATGAGTAAGATTTGGGTTATATAAACTAGCTGTGAATACTGAAAAATTATCCAGTGCATTATCTAATTTTTGATGGATTTGCCTGTTTTCTTGTCTAAAATCATATATCAGGCATGTGCCACATTTTCTTAAATGGGCTTTTATTTTTATTGGAATATTCTACATCTGTTAGTGATAGGTATCCCTAAATAATATTGTTAAATTATATACCAATTTAAGTTGACTGATTTTGTACTATTACTAAAATCCAGTTTTAAGTGACTTAATTTTACATTTAATTATTCTTTGAATTTCAGGATGGTGAGGAAGAAGAAAATGAGAAAGGTATGTGTGATGCCAAGTAGAGTTTCAAAATTGCTGATATTTAGAAAAACAGTAAATTATATGAAAATAAAGCATTCCTTATTTGAAATATTATTTTTAAATTTATCAATTTAGTAAATTAAGTTAATATTTTGATTTTATTTTTCAATTGGTTTTAATTTTCTTTTCACACTTAAAATATGTTATAACTTAATGGTACATATTAGTTACTGTAGTGGACAATGCCATTTTTTATTTAACCTAATTTTAATTTAAAAATTTCTAGCATACGGTAAGTTGATTATATCCATAAGACTGGCACTGCAGTAACTCATATGTGCTTATTGGAGTTATACCATGTAAACGGATAGTTAATTTTGCACATGTTCCTAAAAATGGTGGGTGACTAAGAGACTGACTTTTTGTTTGTTGCTTAAACAAACTTTCATACAGTCTTCTGACAGTTTTAGTAGTTTAGGAGAGCTGTCTCACCCATTACAATTACAGGGACATTGTGGCAATACATGTGGTCAGTACAAGATTATGGAAGAGTTCTTGGACAGAGGTCAAAGGATCCTACTTTGGAGTAGAAAGGACATGGAACAGGGTTCTTAGCAAGACAAAATAAAAAGCCTAGAAGCAATGATGAAGTAAAGTTACTGACTGAAAGAAAATCTCATGCCTGAAGTCTTTCTCTTTGGGGGAATGCAAGACATCTTTTGAAAATGGTACCTATGGGACTGACTGGACAGGATGAAGACTGGAAATAACCAATTTCCTGAACATAATGGAGCAGGCCATCTTTGGAGCTTTCTGTAGCAGTTTTCCATATGATTCTGGACTACCCAAGAATTAAATAAGAAGAACGAAAAAGATGGGGCCTGAAATACTTTGAAGACTGACTGATATCCTCAGGCTGTGACCTTTCAAGACGTCACCATGGGAGTTCTGAAGGTCACAAGGACTAAATCCCAAGACGATTGGAACATTGAATAACATCTTCACATTCGTCATTATCTCCTGGAGAGGGAAAAAAATCTTCCGTATGCCATTAACTTATAACCAGAAATGAAGAGCTGGTATCCTCAGGATGAAACCATTTTCTCAGTTTTGTTGTTTGGTATCTATATATAGAGATCATTTTTCCCCCATGAAGAATAAGTAATCCTGGGTAAAGGATTGTTATATTAGTTCATACCCTTGTGTTTTTTTCCTAACCTTCCATCAGTGCTAATAACTGGCTTTATATTTTCTAGGTCCTATTCTAGCTTATGAATATGAAATTGTTTAAACTTCTTGTTTTGCCATATTTATTCCTGTTAAATCCTCTTAGATATAGCAGGTTCTGGTGATGGTACACAAGAAGTATCTAAACCTCTTCCTTCAGAAGGGAGCCTAGCTGAGGCTGATCACACAGCTCACGAAGAGATGGAAGCTAATGCGACTGTGAAAGAAGCTGAGGATGACAACATCTCGGTCACAATCCAGGCTGAAGATGCCATCACTCTGGATTTTGATGGTGATGACCTCCTAGAAACAGGTAAAAATGTGAAAATTACAGATTCTGAAGCAAGTAAGCCAAAAGATGGGCAGGACGCCATTGCACAGAGCCCGGAGAAGGAAAGCAAGGATTATGAGATGAATGCGAACCGAAAAGATGGTAAGAAGGAAGACTTCGTGAAGGGTGATCCTGTCGAGAAGGAAGCCAGAGAAAGTACTAAGAAAGCAGAATCTGGAGACAAAGAAAAGGATACTTTGAAGAAAGGGCCCTCGTCTACTGGGGCCTCTGGTCAAGCAAAGAGGTTTGTTTTTCTATGTCAGTTCTTTACGATACTGAATTCCAGCATTCAATAAGATCACTCTACATTAAGGGGGTGGCTTCAAGACCATGTACTGTAATTAGTTCTTATGATCCTGCCTATAATATTTTTGACCGTCATAAGTTACTTAAAAAATTTTTTTCAAGATCTTCATAATATGCAGTGTGTTCTACTGATTGCATTGTCGAATTGTCAGCATATATTTGTTTTTTTGTTGTTTTTTGTTTTTGTTTTTTCAAATTGACAATTTTTTGTGTTTTATTTTTAAAAATCCTTGTGATGATGGTTAATGAACAACTATCAGTCCTAACAACACAAATGAAGTCAAGTCCCAGTCCTGAAATCTGGAGAAGATGGCCATATATCCACTGAATAGAATTGTCAGAAAATCTAGATCTTCAGGCATCTTGGGGAAAATCAGTGCAAGAATCCTAAGGGACTCATTTGTTCAAATAACCTAATCTAGGCCTTTGGAATTGTTAATTTGTATGAATAGTACCAGTTTGAAATATAGCCAATATCAAGCTGTTCGATTTTTGTTTCTTTGTTTTTTGTTTTCAATTTTTTTTCTGGTGATTTGCTTCTTTAGCTCTTCAAAGGAATCTAAAGACAGCAAGACATCATCCAAAGATGACAAAGGTAATGGATTTATTTCTATTTTTTCCAATGGTAAATTGTATATTTTCATTAAGAAAGAAATAATTGCGTCTGGTTTTCTTTGACATTTAGTCCTTGAAATTGATGTACTAAAAATTTTGGATGGCCTTTGTGTAAACTATGGAGTTAGACTACAGCATACTTTCAGTGTGATAGAAGCATTACTTTTTAGTTAATTTGTAAACTAATTTGAGTATGCTAAAAATCCCTTTGGAATGTGTTTTTAACATTGTTTTCAAGTAACTGTATTGAATATTAATATGATAGATATTCCAGTTTTTACATTATGATTTCAGAAGTATTTTATTTCTAGTTGCAGTCATTTGTAACCCCTACACTCCACCACAGCCTTATCCCTGTTCTTTCTAGTAGTAAATGTGCTATAAATTATACTTATAGATATTTGTGGAATATAATATTTAAAAGAAATCAGTCTTTAATATTTGGTTTTATGGTTTTTTTCCCCCCTTTCTTTATTGATTAAGGTATTACATATGTGTCCTTATCTCCCCCATTGCCCGCCCCCCCCTCCCCACACCCCTGCTCATGCCCTCACCCCCCTGGTGTCTGTGTCCATTGGTTATGCTTATATGACTGCATACAAGTCCTGTGGTTGATCTCTCCCCCTAACTCCCACCCTCCCCTGGGTTTGTTTTTCATTCATCAAATCAGGGCATACTTCTAGTAACATAACTGGTATGCAGTATATTTTAATTCTTCAGAATTTACTTCCTAATTTGACTTATTTGGAATCTTATATAGGAAAATAGTTTTATTTAAAGTCTTGTAAGCTTAAAGGTACAATATTTGATTGCGTTCTGTTACTGGGAAGTCTCTGGTTATCTCAAGGCCATAAGCTATATATAGTTTCATCTTGTATATATGCTGACTACATGAAAAATATTTCTGTTTTTTTAAAAGAAATAATATCATTCAGGTAATACAAAATCCTAAAATACCTCTTTTAGTGCCCCCCAAGAGGAGTGGCATATGTCTTATATGGTTTATTTAGTGTATTTTCTTGGCATATTTTAATAGTTAGAAATTTTATGATTGTTTATTAATTTACAATTAATTGCAATACCTATGTCCTTTACAGTTTTGGTTACTAGCTAAGATATAATAAATTTATTGTTATCCTTTAAATTCAGGAGGAGTAATCTTGGTTAAATGTTAACTTTCTCCTATTAAAAATGTTTAAATCTGTAATTAGAAAAATATGTGGGCTCACATGTTACTGGTAACAAAAATGATACACAAACTGGTTGACATTTCATAAGATAAAACAGATTCTTTTAATAAATGTGTTCCTTAAGAATAGGAATGCAGCAACTATTCATATTTAAAATATTCAAGTCAGGTAGGTGTATGTTGTCTTCTCATAAGTCTACACTGACTAATTCTTCAACTAAAACTTGTGGCACATAGTCTTTAAAAACATTGAAAATTTTAACTCTTTCTACATATATTAACTTGAAGCTATTAAAATTGTTACTTTTAATTGCTTATATACTTATAGTGGGTAAGAATTAGTTTCCAAATAAAGTCAAATGAATGAAAATTCCCCTTCAATAACAGCACATTTGAAGAAACGCACTGAAGGGTGACTAACTAGGCCTATAGTCTAAGAACTGACATTTGTATGTGTGAAACTGTAATTTGTGTATGGAAATAATACAGAAATCATTCATATAACCGTTTACCTATCTAAAGAATGTTAAGGTTTCTGTCTTTATTCTTTTTTTTTTATACAAACTTTTTAAAAATATATTTTATTGATTTTTTACAGAGTGGAAGGGAGAGGGATAGAAAGTTAGAAACATCGATGAGAGAGAAACATCGATCAGCTGCCTCCTGTACACCTTCTACTGGGGATGTGCCCGCAACCAAGGTACATGTCCTTGACCGGAATCGAACCTGGGACCCTTCAGTCCGCAGGCTGACGCTCTATCCACTGAGCCAAACCGGTTAGGGCTCTGTCTTTATTCTTGTAATTAATTTGTTTTAGAAGATTTTCTTTGGTTAAGTCTAGAATTATCCAACTGCATATAATTTCCACTTTCTCTTACTCTTTTTCTAATAAATAATGAAAATGAGATGGTTGGTTAGCCTTTGTTATTAAACATTTAGATTCTTGCTTTGACATTTCCCTCTTGCTTTTTCAGAATCTAAACCCCATAATAAATATAGGTAATTAAGCAGTCTTTCATTTCTAGATATGAAATTTTTTCATATCAACTAGTTTCCTGGTTGCCTGTATTTATATAGTGCAGTGGTAGAGTATAAATTATTACACTTAACAGCAAAAGTCCAAGACCATGTGGTTGATGTTTTTATCCACTTAAAATTCATGTAGTAGAAAGAATGCAGTATTCAGACTTGTTTCCTCACTATGGTTGTATTGCCTATTATTGTGGTTGGTTTTGATAGAGTAAGTTATACTGTCAAAATTAAATGAGAGGGTTTTATAATTTTGAAAGAATGTGGTCCTAATAATTTTGTTTTAAAAAATCCAATTGAGATACTTAACTGTCTGATAATTGAATCTATTCTAGGAAGTACAAGTAGTACTAGTGGGAGCAGTGGAAGCTCAACTAAAAATATCTGGGTTAGTGGACTTTCTTCTAATACCAAAGCTGCTGATTTGAAGAACCTCTTTGGCAAATATGGAAAGGTACATTCTTTTTGCCTTTTTATCCATGTTTCTACTATCTTTATTTGAAACAAGGATTTAGTCAAAATTGTTTCTCTTATTTCTCTTAGGACTGATATAGGCATAATTATTGAGTTCTATGGTAATGGTGAGTTTCATCATATTATCTCACTCTGAGCCCTGGGGAATCTTTGTATTGAAAGCTCATATTTTGAGCCCACTTAAGCCAAGAACTGAGTTTTATTCATCACATTCATCCTGATTTTTCTAGGACCTAGGATTGCTGAGGCAGATCTGGTCATCTAGGAAATATAGGTAGACTAATATTAGGCAATGGGATATAGAATTGGAAAAAACAAAACAGTCCAGTGCTGGAGAAAAATGTGAAACTGGTAAAAATAATACTTAGTCAGATAAAGTGATATGTGCTGTGATGGCAGGGTACATGGTGCTAAGAGAGCAAAAGGGGAGGCTTTACTGTGGTTTGGTTCACTAGGAAAAGTTTCTCTGACAAGGGAAAACTAATGGAAGAGAAAAATAGTCAAAAATGAATTGAATATTCAATTAATAGTTGTTAGATTGAATTGCAGTTTTGATCTGTAACCCTTAGGGCACTCATTACTTTCTACTTAAATTTTAAAATACATTATATATTAACCTACTCCACTGTAAGCTAATTGATAACAGGGGCCTTATCTGCTGTGTGTGCACATGATAGGCTTTCAAATATTTATTAAATCAATACTGGCAAATAGCCATTAATCCTATATAATAAAAGGGTAATATCCAAATTGACCCTAATGGCGGAACAACTGGGAGCGACTGGTTGCTATGACGCGCACTGACCACCAGGGGGCAGACACTTAACTCAGGAGCTGCCCCCTGGTGGTCAGTGCACTTCCACAGGGGTAGCACTGCTCAGCCAGAAGCTGGCTCATGGCTGGCCAGCACAGCAGTGGTGGCGGGAGCCTCTCCTGCCTCCGTGGCAGTGCTAAGGATGTCCGACTGCCAGCTTAGGCCCGTTCCCCCAGGGAGCAGGCCTGAGCCATCAGTTGGACATCCCTGAGGGGTCCCGGACTACCAGAGGGCGCAGGCTGGGCTGAGGGGACCTGCGCACCCCCCCCCCCTCGAGTGCACAAATTTTCGTGCACTGGGCCTCTAGTGAATATTATAAAAATCTGTTATCTTGATTTCAGGAGTTGATGGGGTTTTTTGTTTTTTAATTTAATTATAGAGTTCTTATAGGCATCAGATACAGAACACTGAGAATTATAGTCCTGAGATTAGTTGTGTTATACCTTTTTTTAAAAAAAACAACAACCGTTTGTTGATTTTTAGAGAGGAAGGGAAAGTGAGAGAGAAACGTTGATGTGAGATAGGTTAACTCCTGCACATCCCCTACCGGGAATGGAGCTGTAATCTGAGCATGTGCCTTTGACCAGGAATTGAAACAGCTACTTCCTGGTGTATAGGATGACGCTCAACTAACTGAGACACCAGCCAGGGCAGCTGTGGTATACTTTCTGTTTTATTTTCAATAATTTATTGTTTTGTTTTTGTTAATCTTTTCCCGAGGATTTTTTTTTCTTTTTAAATATATTTTTATTGAATTCAGAGAGAAAGGGAGAGGGAGAGATAGAAACATCAATTATGAGAGAGAATCACTGATCGGCTACCTCCTGCACGCCCCCCACTGGGGATTGAGCCCACAACCCGGGCATGTGCCCTTAATTGGAACTGAACCCGGGACCCTTCAGTCTGCAGGCCGAAGCTCTCTCCACTGAGCCAAACCAGCTAGGGCGCAAGGATATATATATTTTTTTAATATATTTTATTGATTTTTTACAGAGAGAAAGGGAGAGGGATAGAGAGTTTGAAACATCGATGAGAGAGAAACATCGATCAGCTGCCTCCTGCACAGCCCTCTTGGGGCTGTCCTCAACCAAGGTACATGCCCTTGACCGGAATCGAACCTGGGACCCTTCAGTCCACAGGCCGATGCTCTATCCACTGAGCCAAACCGGTTAGGGCCGAGGATATTTTTTTCATTGATTTTTAGAGAGAGTAGGAAAGGAGGAGGGAGAGAGAGAGAAACATCGATGTGAGAAAGACACATTGATTGGTTGCCTCCCACACTGGTTGCCTCTGACATATGCCCTGACTGGGGCCAGAAATCCAATCTGTGCCTTTCAGTGTGTGGGATGACGCTCTAACCACTGGTCAGGGCAGCTGTGGTATACTTTTTGTATAACTTTCAGTAATTTATTGTTAGAGGTAATAAACAGTATTTTAATGTTGGCATTTATTAGGACTAAACCTGTAGAAGGATACCACACACTTGATAAAATTGCTGTTGGGCAAGTTGGCCTTTCCCAGAGTTAAAGATAAAAGCTAAGTTTCTAGCCACCTATAACCATAAAACCTCCTAAATTCCCTGTTTACCTCTTCCTGGCATTATGTCTGTGTTCCTCTCTATTCACCCTAGATCAGGGGTCCTCAAACTTTTTAAACAGGGGGCCAGTTCACTGTCCCTCAGACCGTTGGAGGGCCGGACTATAGTTTAAAAAAAAAATATGAACAAATTCCTATGCACACTGTACATATCTTATTTTGAAGTAAAAAAAAACAAAACGGGAACAAATACAATATTTGTATTTACATATGGCCCGCGGGCCGTAGTTTGAGGACCCCTGCCCTAGATTGTTCTCTCTCACTTTTCTTCTCACGCACCCATCTCTGCCTTATATTTTCTAACTATGCGTTTTATAAAGCTGAGATTATTTGTTGTTTTTAATATGAATAGACATTTTATTTTATTTTATTTTTTTTATTTTTAAAATATATTTTATTGATTTTTTACAGAGAGGAAGGGAGAGAGATAGAGGGTTAGAAACATCGATGAGAGAGAAACATCGATCAGCTGCCTCCTGCACACTCCCCACTGGGGATGTGCCCGCAACCACAGTACATGCCCTTGACCGGAATCCGGAATCGAACCTGGGACCCTTCAGTCCGCAGCTGACGCTCTATCCACTGAGCCAAACCGGTTTCGGCTATGAATAGACATTTTAAAAGGCCATAAATGGAAAGTGTCTTTTTTATTTTTATTTTTTAAATATATTTTATTGACTTTTTACAGAGAGGAAGGGAGAGGGATAGAGAGTTAGAAACATCGGTGAGAGAGAAACATCAATCAGCTGCCTCCTGCACACTCCCCACTGGGAATGTGCCCGCAACCAAGGTACATGCCCTTGACTGGAATCAAACCTGGGACCCTTGAGTCTGCAGGCCGACGCTCTATCCACTGAGCCAAACCGGTTGGGGCAGAAAGTGTCTTTTTAAAGTATAATTTTTAGAATGCATTTTTAAGGCTGCTTTTTTATATATGGCTGATTATTTGTGAAAGCTTCTTATAGTATAGAACAATGTTAAAACCCACTTAGAAACTTTCTAGACACCTTTTTTTTATTGATTTCAGAGAGGAAGGCAGAAGGGGAGAGAGATAGAAACATCAATGATGAGAGAGAATCATTGATCAGCTGCCTCCTGCATGTCCCCACACTGGGGAGCGAGTCCACAACCCTGGCATGAGCCCTGACCGGGAATCAAACTGTGACCTCCTGGTTCAATGCTCAACCACTGCACTGGCTGTGTGACACATATCTTTTTTGTTTTCTTTCTTTCCTTTTTTTTTCTCTAAGAAATTCAAGGGGTCCTGTAATGGAAATTTTGGCCCAAATCTAATTGAGAATGTTATTTGCTTTCATTAAGGGTACCATTACTTAATTGATGTGACTGTGTTTTTGGCTGTATATTTGAAAAATATAAAAAGAAAAACTAAAAAGATAAATTGCTTTTTTTTAAATAAATTTTTATTGTTGAAAGTATTACGTATGTCCCTTTTTCTCCCCCATTGCCCTCTGCAACCCCTCTCCCCCGTGAACCCCTCACCACTCTACCATCTATGTCTATGGGTTATGCAGATACGCACATGAGTTCATTATAAATTGCTTTTTGATGCTTTAAATTGTTCCCTTGAATATTTACTAAGTATTTATAGGCAAGGTAGATGATGATCAAAAGTATAAGAAACATATACTATATGTATGCAAATTTGTCCTTATCATGAGTTTATGTACCTAAATAGATCCTTTAACTTGAATAGTCTCAGATCTGAAGTTTTATCTGTTTAAAATCTGTGTAGTTGTGAAGTAAAACTTTCTAAAGTATAATCTTATTTTACAGGTTCTGAGTGCAAAGGTAGTTACAAATGCTCGAAGTCCTGGAGCCAAGTGCTATGGCATAGTAACTATGTCTTCAAGCACAGAGGTGTCCAGGTGTATTGCACATCTTCATCGCACTGAGCTGCATGGACAGTTAATCTCTGTTGAAAAAGTAAGCTTACCTGTTTTATAAAGGGTTACTTTGAGGACTAGTAATTCTCAATTTAAAAATGTTACACTAGTTAAGAAGTAAAATTAAGAATGATTTTATGCATTCATTTTTATTTTTTTAGCTTTTATATTTTTCAAATTTTCAACCATCAATATACTTTTAATAATCATAAAAATGTAACTTTAAAACATAAAGTTTTTTTTTTCTATTTGAACCTTTCAGGTTAAAGGTGATCCATCTAAGAAAGAATTAAAGAAAGAAAATGATGAAAAGAGTAGTTCCAGAAATTCTGGGGACAAAAAAAACATGAGTGATAGAAATAGCAAGTAAGGATTTATTTTTTGATAAGTACATTGACTTTTTGGTACATTGATGCACTAGTTCTCATTCTGTTGTGTTCTTGCGTGCGGTGCTGTGGTCAGGACACAAGCCTCTGTCAAAAAAGAAGAGAAAAGGTTGTCTGAGAAATCTGAAAAAAAAGAAAGCAAGGATACTAAGAAGATGGAAGGTAAAGATGAGAAGAATGATAATGGATCAAGTGGCCAAACTTCTGAATTCATTAAAAAAAGTGAAGAAAAGAAGCGAATAAGTATGCTATGTATCTCCTCAATCTTTTTCTAATTTATTCTACAACTTAATTTTACAGTGGAAGGGAAAACTTGAAATTAAAACCAGATAAATATTTAAACTTCATTGTTAGGTGTTACTGTTTTAGAAAAGGAGGTCCAATAGGACTAATTATCTTATTTTTTACTCCTAGAAAACAAATGTGTTTGTTGCACTAAGCCTCCTTACTATTAAATCTGGGCTGCCTTAATTCTATCATAGAATTATATGATAATTACATTATGATTTCACCCGCAACCCAAGTGCTAATTTTACAGTGGAAGGGAAAACTTGAAATTAAAACCAGATAAATATTTAAACTTCATTGTTAGGTGTTACTGTTTTAGAAAAGGAGGTCCAATAGGACTAATTATCTTATTTTTTACTCCTAGAAAACAAATGTGTTTGTTGCACTAAGCCTCCTTACTATTAAATCTGGGCTGCCTTAATTCTATCATAGAATTATATGATAATTACATTATGATTTCAGAAGTATTTTATTTCTAGTTGCAGTCATTTGTAACCCCTACACTCCACTATAGTTGACAACTATAGTTGAGTTGGGATCTTTTGGTATTACTGAAAATATTTGCATTAGCAGATTGAGCTAGTTCTAAAAGCTTTGCATTTATGTTCTCATAAAATAAGTTGGTTTTTTAATTTCATGTATTGGTTTGTGAATATCTAGTTGTCTAAGAATTCAGCATTTTCACATTATATTTTTTAAATGAAATAATTTTTAGACATTTATCTAATGTTTATCTAATATTTTTTTCTCTCTTAGGTTCAAAGAGCCCTGGACATATGGTAATACTAGACCAAACTAAAGGAGATCATTGTAGGCCATCAAGAAGAGGAAGATATGAGAAAGTAAGTCTCTGAAAGGGATGTTGTATATAATTTTACTGTTTGCAAAAAAAGATAATTCAGGATCTCTGTAACCTTCCTCTTTAATTTAGCTCTGTAATAATGCCATGCTAGAAAATCTAAGAAAAATGGAATGCCATTACTCACTTAAGGTTTTTAAATGACCAGCTGAACGTCGAAAACAGTCCAAAATTATTTTAACATCTAGTCCTTCTATAATTTTTTTCTACAGATTCATGGAAGAAGTAAGGAAAAGGAGAGAGCTAGCCTAGATAAAAGAAGGGACAAAGACTACAGAAGGAAAGACATCTTGCCTTTTGAAAAGATGAAGGAACAAAGACTAAGAGAACATTTAGTTCGTTTTGAAAGATTGCGACAAGCAATGGAACTTCGAAGGTAGAAACAGTCTATTTTATACCTGTCTTTAACTATAAGTACATATTTAATACTATTAGAATTGTATTCCCACAGAAATCTATTTGCCACTTTTAAGAAATAGAGTAAAACCTAATTATTTCTCAAGTTTGCATGCTATTTTACAATTTACAAAGTTACCTTTCCATCTATTGTCTCTGTCTCAACAGTCCTGTAAGGTTAGTTATGCCCATTATATAATTGAAAAATAAAAAGAGGCCCAGAGAGGCTAAATGACTCTTCCAATGCCACATTGCTAATGAGTGGCAGAGTCGGGACTCAGACCCAAGTCTTCTGACTCCAAGTCCAATGCTCTTTCCTCTCCAAAGTTGCTGCCATAAAAGACATGATTTTAAAGGAAAATTTGATTTTTGAGATAAGATAGTTTCAATGTAGGCTATAGTATTCAAATAGTATGTTGACATTTTAGAAAACATGTATTATATTTTGGACTAGAGCCCCAGTGAAGGAAGATTTGCCCTGTAAATCTTATTTTGTTCAAGCTCTATCTCTCAAACCAAGAATTCTCTTTAAAAGAAACTGAGAACAAAAAACATTTCTATTTTTGGTGGCAGTATCTTAGCTGTTCACCATGAGTGCCAATTTGCTTTTGTAAGTTAATTTTTGGATACCACTTAAAATATTCTTATTAAAGTGTTTTATAATATAAATTTCCAAAAATTAACCTATCTAATTGAGAGGTAACTTATGGGATTTCACCTATTCATACACAAGAGTGTTAGGCCAGAGATATTTCTATCAACTTAAATAATACTGTTATTGCCACACACTTTACTAAAAGGAAATAATCCTTGCTTTACTCAGAACTCTTTTCCCCTTTTTTTATGAAATCCCAATATGCTGAGCTTCCTATTTAAATGACAATCTGAAAAAAAAGAGTAGTGGCTACTAGAGCAGCAATTCTCAAAACTATCTGACTCATAACCCTTTTATATGTAACAAAAAAGTTGCAGTACCCTGTTTACTATTCTGAAATAAAATTGATATATAATGTACCTACCTATACAAATAATTTCCCAGAAAATCAATATGATGCCTTAACTCTAATTTAAAGGAGAAATAAAGTAATTTATAATGAAGCATGTATTCCAGATGTGAATGTTTAGGCATGCCTCTCCAGAAGACCTAATGAAGTAGTCAGATGTTTGTACCCCTCTTTAGACTCAATGAAAATGTGACAGCTACAAATACAGACTGATATTGGTATGTCGTATTGGTGAGTTAAAGACCAGGAGTGGTGTTGACATCATGACGTCGTTTCTGAAGTGGTGAACAACTCTTAGTGAAGTTCTCAAGATAATATAATCCCCCCACCTTTTTTTTTTTTTTTTTTTTTTTTTTTTTGCAGGAAGTTGCATTTCTGGAAATTGTAGTGAATATTAAACCATGTCAAAGCAAACAAGCCAACCTAGCATTTATTAAAAATAAGTTTTAGGCTCAGATTTTTTAAGGTGATTTTTTTGTTGTTGTTTTAATGACATAAATGTCCATTATGTCATTTGAAAGATATTAGGAGTATTGGACAGTTTTTTGTTGTGCAGGACTATCCTGTGCATCATAAGATATTTAGAATCCTTGGTCCCTACTCAGTAAATGCTGGTAGTACTCCATGGTCATTGTAATGATTAAAAATGCCCCTCAGATTTCCATGGGGGATTGAGAACTACTAGGTTGATGGAGGAAGACATACTGAGAGACAAAGTACACTGAGTTCCTTAGAGTGAGGAAATGACAAAAACTATTAAAAGTCTGATATAAGAAGTTAATTCAGTTCAGCAAACATTTGAGCTATCTCCTGACTCAAAAATGCATTTACCTGGAGCCATCTGTTATGGGCTAATGAATACTCCAAAAAAGCCCTTAAGGGCCTCCATTTTATTACATATAACATTTGCTGTAATTCATGTTGATGAGTATAACCCCCAAGTCATCAAAATAAGGTAAACCTTGTTTAAGGACATAGACTGTATACTATAGAAATTTTTGTCAGAAACAATGTAAATTGTAGTTTTGTAAATTTATATATGTAGAATATCTCCTTTTCAAAATGTCAATTTATTAATGGGCTATTATTATAGTGGGATTTTTATTTAAGCAGGAATCATCTAAGAGGCAACTACTGTATAAAATTCAGCTGCTCAGTTGACAGTCTTAATAAATAAGTGACAGTGTTGGGGTCTGTTTAAAGTTTTCTTATTTTGAGTTTTCTTTCCAATTATATTAAAACTACTTAGATTAAGTTAAAGTTTAAAATTGCCAATCTCAATAAAAATTTCAAATTAAAAAATTATTCTCTTTCACACAGTGCTAGCATAATTTAAGTATTTCTAAATACTGATTTTTGTTAGACGAAGAGAGATTGCAGAAAGAGAGCGTCGAGAGCGAGAACGCATTAGAATAATTCGTGAACGGGAAGAACGGGAACGCTTACTCAGAGAGAGAGAGCGCCTAGAAATTGAAAGGCAAAAACTAGAGAGAGAGAGAATGGAACGCGAACGCTTGGAAAGGGAACGCATTCGTATTGAACAGGTGCAGTCAGAAAATCTTTTCATCTTAAATAACTGACCTTTTCCAAACCCTGTGATTTTTGCCCTGAAATTTGCTTTACTTTGGTAAAGCTTCTGTGGAATGAGTTCAGCTAATGAGCATTTATTAAGTGCCCCTGAAAGATAACAATGAATTAGATGCTAGTTAAAAATTAATTCAGTAGTGACTTTGTTCTAGCCAATTGGTAATAACTCAAGCTCTGCAATATCATGGCAGCCTAATAGTCTGAGCATAGGACTATGAGTCCAGAGTAGTTGTAATCCAGGCTCTGTCACTATCCCAATCTTAGAAAATAACTATTTCCTTACATATTATAGTGGGAATGATTTCCCAAGGCTGGAAGGTAATAATGCCTCTCTGCAGAATTGCATCCAGGGTTTTCAGGCCCTTAGTGTCCATATGTTTTAAGAACTCTATTTCTAATTCCCTGTGGGTGCTTTTCTTTGAATCAAATGATTGAACTAAATCTGACCTTCCCAATTACTTGCCAGCTTTTACCACCCAATCAATCTCTTATTTTTAATGTTGCAGAATAGTAACTATAGCCTAGATTACTGATTCCTAGAGTCATATTTGTTTATGTATTTGTCCCAAGTGTTTTGCCTAGTGATTGTCTATGATGGTTTCTTAATGACAGGATTAAAACAAGGTTGCATATATACTTACCTTATGTTTTCATTTTGCATTGGTTGGTTCTTCCTTCTGTGTTGTCTGAAGGAACGTCGTAAGGAAGCTGAACGTATTGCTAGAGAACGAGAGGAACTGAGAAGGCAACAGCAGCAGCTTCGTTATGAACAAGAAAAAAGGAATTCTTTGAAACGGCCACGTGATGTAGATCATAGGTAAATGTTTGCTTTTTTCTTTTACAGTTACACTTGCTGTCTTACTCCTTTCAAGCTAAAACTAACTAGAAAGTATAGGCAACCATCCCTGGAATAAAGAGGTCATGATCCACAGAGATGGGAATGATTGCAGCGCATTATCAAGTAGGAAGAGTCTGCTTTCCTTTCTCTTTCCTTCCTAATGCCAAATGTTTTCCCATTATGATGAAAATACATGGTTATAGTAGGTTTCAGTGGTTGTTCTCAGACCCGTTTTCAACATTCTTACAAGGTACTACTGATAACAAAAATGGATGCCATAGCCCTAACCGGTTTTGCTCAGTGGATAGAGCATCGGCCTGCGGACTGAAGGGTCCCAGGTTCGATTCCGGTCAAGGGCATGTACCTTGGTTGCGGGCACATCCCCAGTAGGAGGTGTGCAGGAGGCAGCTGATTGATGTTTCTCTCTCATTGATGTTTCTAACTCTCTATCCCTCTCCCTTCCTCTCTGTAAAAAAAAAAAAAAAAAAATCAATAAAATACGTTTAAAAAAAATGGATGACATAACTTGGGAAGGCTCAAATATAGATTCTGTGTGTCTGTGTTCATGATTCACAATAGATTTCAAAAATATAATATAATCATTTAATTTTAATATGAAATCTATGAGATTTAGTGGATTGTGTTGAGAAAGAGGTGTAATGAATGAATTGTGCTTGGGACTTAATCCCTCAAAATTAAGTATAGCTGAAAAGTTTGTATACTGCTGGTTAGAATTTTACTACTAGCCCTAGCTGGTTTGGCTCAGTGGATAGAGGGTTGGCCTGCGGACTGAAGGGTCCTGGGTCCGGTCAAGGGCACATGCCCGTGTTGCGGGCTTGATCCCCAGTAGGGGGCATGTAGGAGGCAGCCGATCAATGATTGTCTCTCATCATTGATGTTTTGATCTTTCTTTCCCTCTTCCTCTCTGAAATCAATAAAAATATATTAACAAAAAAAAGCACATTAAAAAAAAAGAATTATACTACTAAAATGGTATATTGAATGTTTTACCTCATTTGTCTTTTCCATCTGATAATTTTAAAGCAGACAGTTTTTCAGCTACTTTCTCTCCTGTGAAATTCCTCTAACACTATATGACTTTACATAATTTAATAATTTGTTGCTAGCTCGTTCTTGTAACAGAATGTTTTGTGTTTTGAGTTCATTAGACTTCTGTATCCACAGTTCCTAGCATGTGGTATATATGACTCCAAGTAAGTGTTGTTTGGTTATTATAATACTAACTTATATAAATGAGCAAATATTTCTCTTCAAGGCGAGATGATCCTTACTGGAGCGAGAATAAAAAGTTGTCTCTAGATACTGATGCACGATTCAGCCATGGATCTGACTACTCTCGCCAACAGAACAGATTTAATGACTTTGATCACCGAGAGAGGGGCAGGTTTCCTGAGAGTTCATCAGTACAGTCTTCATCTTTTGAAAGGTAAATAGGTTATGTTGAAAATTGTTGTATTTAGTATATGAACCTTGCTAGTGATAAGTTTGGTTCTCTTAAAATCTATAGGTCTTAAAGTATATAGGTCAGAACTGAGTGTTCAAAACAAATCATATGTTTGGTTTTTGTTTTTCAAATGAAATAAGCTATGTATTTGTTTTATTTTGTTTGCTGTAAATTGCCTTCACTCTGTGCACTTTTTGGTACATTTGGTGTGAGAACATCTCAAAATATTATAATTCAGGAGTCAAGATGACCTATCCAGGAGGCTGTAAAAATTGGTTTGAATAATTAGAACTGTGAAATGGAACTAGTTTAAAATATGAAACAGATCTAAGAACCAAGCTTAGAAGCTACACAGTAACAAGTGTGAACAAGCTGAACCTGTATTTCCATGGAGAACCTGTATTTCCATGGAGAACCTGTATTTCCATGGAGTGACATTCCCGTTGGCCAACAGGTCCCAAATTCAGTGTAGCTCTTCTTTCCCTTTTCCTTTCTCTCGTGGGAAAGATATTCAGAAACGACCATGGAAAACATGAATCATTGAAATTCACTTTGTGGACCAACTCCTGAAGAGAGAACGGCCACCACTCTAAAATGATTAGACATGTAGTGTTTACATGATGACTTTCTACACTTCGAGAAACCCTCAAAGACTAAACTGCCTATTTAAAAATTCTATTCTAAAGAACCTAAACTTCCTAGCAGCTTTTGTCCTTTTGCAGTAAGACAAAAGACATTGTACTGCCACACAGGGGTCAACCACAGCTAACTTGTCCAGTCAGGATTTACTCTAATGGACAGTTCAACTGGTAGACCTATGTCCATGCATTCTTTATAATGATTTTAGACCAACTTTTTTTTTTAATTTAAATAAGTTCTAGGCTTCAAAAATGTGATGTTTGATCCTTTTGCTGATAGAAGAAGTCTTCCCTTCAAATGTCGAATTTACTAAAATAATTTACATAGCAGTTATCATACTCCATGGAAAAGTCATCAATCCAGTTGCAGACCTTTGTTTTCCTTTACTTTATGTTATGCCCTGTATTCTCCTTTCTAAATATAAAAATGCAACATAAATAATAAAATAGAACATAAATAAAAATTTAAAAAACACCATTATCCTGGCTGGTGTGGCTCCATTGGTTGAGTATAGTTCTGTGCACCAAAAGGTTGCCATTTTGATTCCTAGTCAGGGCACATGCCTGGGTTGCAGGCTCGATCCCCAGTCAGGGCATGCAGTAGGCAATCAATGTTTCTCTCCCTCTCCCTCTCCCTCTCTCTCTAAAAAAACAAAATCTTAAAAAAAAACACCACAAAACCACAAACACAAAACGCCCTCATTTTATTCATGAGTTCTGTGAACTGTCCAAATAATGCCTGTGAATGGCAGCAACTTCTCTCAGTCATTCAAATCGCTCATGTTTTATAATACAGAATTTATAAGGGACAGCTAAAGAGGATTGTAATATGAAGAAAATTGAGAGGTAGCCAAGGAAAAACAACTAATCAACTAAAAATTGCCATAATAACCCAGATTTAAACAAAGAATAAATTTGTATCTTGGATAACATGATAAAACTTCAAGGTAACATCACAATTTATACTAGATGGCTTTACTAGTATATGAATTAATGTATTAGATTTATTTCTTCTACTGTAGCTGCAAATATATTAAACAATTATTTCTTCACTCATTTCTCTTTCCCCTAGTGGTGGCATTTAAAACTGAGTAACTGTATTTAGCACTCATTAATTTAGAAAATATAAAAAGGCTTTAGGAAAATAGAGACAGTAGATTCATTTTCATATACTACTTGTTGGAGTGAAGTCTCCTTTTGGGGATACTGGTGAACAGAACATTTTTTTGGTCTGAGTTACTGTTTTCTGGGCTTATCTCAGACAGATAACTCCCAAATCTTATGTAGGCCCAGATTATCTTGGCAAAATTCTCCAGCTCCCAGCACACAGCACAGCGATTTTATCTGTTCTCTTTTTGCATGTTCAGTTTTGTTCCTGGGAATATGATTCAGTATTAAAAATTAGTTTGATAGGCCACCATAACAACGTTAAGTAGGTTGGCTTTATCTTCTTCTTTTTTTTTTTTAATCCAAAATGTGTTTATTGGGATGGTTTCCCACTCATCTTGATTTGAGGTGCTTCTAGTGCTGCTTCCTTCTGAAGGAGCATCCTTCTGTAAGCCTTGCTTTTCCTCCTGTTGGCTGACAGAGAACAGTGGAGCAATCAACACACATGGCTAAAGACAGTGGTGATTTCATAGCAGGTTGGGCATTTTATATCCATGAAGTAGGAATTAGGGCTCTGCACCAGGTGTTTCTTCTTTTGTTTCCTCTTCTCTTCTGGAGAGGGATGGAGGAGATGCTTAGCGAAAGGCACCGCCGGAAAGGATTGGCTTTATCTTAACCTTTAAAACTAAGTGGGAGTACTATTAGCTTTGGATGTGCCTCAATTGTTAAGAGCAGTGAAATATCCTTCAGGTTGGTAGTGCCTTGAATGTTTGACATAATCCCTCCTGGATGCTAAAAAACCAACCATCATGCCAGACATTTACCTCAGTTTAAGAGATTATGAGTTATCTATCTATATAAAAGCCTAAGTGACCATTACAACCAAACAACCAGAACGACCAGGGGGCAGATGCTCAACGCAGGAGCTGCCCCCGGGTGGTCAGTGGGCTCCCGCAGCAGGAGCGCAGCTCAGCCAAAAGCCAGGCTCTCAGCTGGCGATGGGAGCCTCTCCTGCCTCTGTAGCAGTGCTACAAGGTGGTGGCGGCAGGCGCAGCAGGTCTGGGATGAGCGGTGGTGGAGCTGCGCCCAACCCTGGCTGGGGCTCCTATCCGGCCACCTGCTGCTTTGGCACTGCTACATCCCTCAGGCCGAAACCTGGCAGTCCAACATCCCCCGAGGGGTCGCAGATTGCGAAAGGGTGCAGGCCAGGCTGAGGGACCCCACCCATACACGAATCTGTGTACCAGGCCTCTAGTAATCAATAATTGTGGATATTTTGGTGGCTTTGCCTTAAGTTAATTTTTACAGAAGATGTAACTATTGTAGGTTTTGTAAATAAGGTTAAGAAGAATAAGGCCAAGTAAGTCCTTCTGAGGACCTATGTTCTTTGTTTTGGATAAACAATAGGCGAGAACGCTTTGTTGGTCAAAGTGACGGGAAAAAAACACGTCCTACTGCACGAAGAGAAGATCCAGGTTTTGAAAGGTATCCCAAAAATTTCAGTGATTCCAGGAGAAATGAGCCTCCACCACCAAGAAATGAACTTAGAGAAACAGACAGGCGTGAAGTACGAGGGGAGCGAGAAGAGAGGAGAACTGTGATCATTCACGATAGGCCTGATATCACTCACCCGAGACATCCACGAGAAGCAGGGCCCACTCCCTCTAGGACCTCCACCTGGAAAAGTGAAGGAGGCATGTCCAGTGACAAACGGGAAGCAAGGTATTTGTGTAGTTTCTAATGCCTCTATGGTGGTATATATTGCATTTGGGTTAAAAGAAAGTTAAAATAGAATTTTGATCGCATACCTTTTGGGGTTTTGTTTAACAGAGTTGAAAGGCCAGAGCGATCTGGGAGAGAAGTGTCAGGACACAGTGTAAGAGGGGCCCCACCCGGGAGTCGCAGTAACGCTTCCAGCTATGGCAACAGAGAAGGAGAAAGGGTCATTACAGACCGAGGGAGTGGAGCACAGGTAAGTGCTAATGAAGGTTTATGCTCAACTCTTCGGAAATCACTTTAGAGGACTTATCATTTTTTAAAAAAAAATATATTTTATTGATTTTTTACAGAAAGGAAGGGAGAGGGATAGAGAGTTAGAAACATCGATGAGAGAGAAACATTGATCAGCTGCCTCCTGCACACCCCCCACTGGGGATGTGCCTGCAACCAAGGTATATGCCCTTGACCGGAATCGAACCTGGGACCCTTGAGTCCACAGGCCGATGCTCTATCCACTGAGCCAAACCGGCCAGGGCGAGGACTTATCATTTTGATGTGACCTAGATTGGTTGATTAGAATGACTGGGAGACTAGTTTACTGTAAAAAATCTTCATATTTTTCATATTTTACTGTCAGTAGTTGAACATCAGTAATTCAAAGAAGTTGGATATTAACCCTGAAATTCTTGTTCATTTTGTTGTTGTTGTTGTTGTTGTTGTAGTTGTTATTAATCGTCCCCTGAGGATATTTTTTCTGTTGATTTTTAGAGAGAGTGGAAGTTAGAGGTGGGGAGAGAAACATCTGTATGAGAGAGACACATTGATTGCTTGCCTCCCATACACACCCCTACTGGGCAACTGAGGTATGTGCCCCCTTTTTTTTTTTTTTTTAATTTAATAAGATACTCAGGTTTATTATCTGATTTACATTTGACAAAGCAAAGGTAGGTGCAACAAAGCTGTTTGACAAAGTCAAGCCCCAGTTATCAAACAAAAGTATTTCCCTGGCTGCCCCAGAAGGCACTTTGCCACTCCTAAGTAGCTGTGCTCCGCAGTGCAAACCACTCATTGTAGACACTGTGGTGCCGCACTTGGAGTCTAGGCCTGCAGGCACCCGATGAGGTATGTGCCCTTGATCAGGAATCGAACCCACAACCCTTCAGTCCACAGGCCAACGCTCTAACCACTGAGCAATGGGCCAGGGCTTTTAGGGACTTTTTTTACTAGAAAAAAATTTAATCCCTTGGCATTCTTGCTAATACCACTGTATACTTTCTGATAGTTTAGAGCATTTATGACATAAATTTGGGCCTGGTGGCATTATCAGCTTTAATGTTTCTAATAAGTGGAAATATTCAGTAGATCATTTTATTGACTGTTTACCTGTAAACCTTAAGCCTGGGTATATAATCAGATATCCTGCTGTAGTTAGAGTGAAACCAAGGCAGTACTATAGACTAGCCCTATGCATTCAGATATTCATTTAGGGAAGATGTCCTGGGAGAGATCCTGTTCCTCCCTGGAAAATTCTATTTTTCGTCAATAAGTTGTTCTACCAGTGTTCTCTTTAGGGTTCCTTTAGCTCTATTTTCTGTGAGCTAAGTATCAAAAAGTTTGACTCTTCTTTCCTCAGCTCCTAGGTTCTGTGGCTTTTGTTTCTTTGTGTTCAGTATTCTGTTTTTTATAGTCATGGATATAAGACCTTGTCAGAGCCATAGCACTAACTAGTACTCTATAAAATAAGATGACAGCTCCTGTTTTTATGTGCTGTTCACATGTTGATCATATACCCTAATTTGTCTTAAGGTTAAGACCTCTCACTATGCTTTCTTACATATATAGATCCAGGCATTATATAGAGATCCAGAAATACTCAGCATTCACAAAATACTTGGGTGCTAGAAGGTATAGAAATGGAAGTTACAGTGCTGAATCATTTCCCCCTACCCCACCTTCTGTAGCTTCTTAATGCAAAATAGAAGGAAACCCAATAGAAGGAAACCCTTTACATTTGTTGTTGTATTAGTATTATTAATTCTTTTTTCTTCCCAGACATCTTACTAATTTGCTTCTAGTGTCCTGGCCAGGTAGCTCAGTTGGCTAGAGCATCATCCCAATACACTAAGGTTGTGGGTTTGATTCCTGGTCAGGCTGGTCAGGCGCATAACAAGAAGCATCCAAAAAAAAAAGAAGCATCCAGTGAATAGATAAATAAGTGGAACAACAAACCAATGTTTCTCTCTCTCTCTCTCTCTCTCTCTCTCTCTCATCTCTGTCTTTCTCTCCCTTCCTCTCTCTAAAATCAATAATAAAAATTAAAAATAAGTAAATAAATAAAAGCATACTAGCACAAGTAAATTGGTGTGAGGCTGAGGGTGTCATCACTTCTCTTTTAATATGACCTTCTTTAGCACTATCCTGAAGAGCGACGTGTGGTTGAACGACATGGACGGGATGCAAGCGGACCAAGAAAAGAGTGGCATGGCCCACCTTCTCAAGGGCCTGGCTATCATGATGCAAGGCGAATGGGTGATGGCCGGTCAGGGGCAAACATGATAGCCCAACATACAAGGTAAGTAGGTAATTAGTTAAAAATTTTCTGCCAGCACACAACCATATCTTTATCCTTTCCTTAAAGGTCATGATAGCTTCTGAGAGATTGGATAGCAACACCCCTTGCCCAACTATTTCCCCATATTAACTCAAAATCTCCAGGAGATTTTATGCAGGGCAACTGATGTTAATTTTCGCATTTATATTCCTCATGGTAAGTTAATTGATTGGCATTCTGGCATATTGATCTAGATAGACGCCTGAAATGTATGTCAGAATCCGGTAGATAATGAACATTAATTTCAAGTTGGAACCATCTTCTTGTTCAATATCTGTCATTCCTAAAATTCCTAGAAAGGAAGAAGAAAACTGAAAGTCTGTTCTGCTTCCTCCCTTTTCAAATAACTCTAGCAAAACTGGTGGACATTTAACCCACAGCCTGTTCATAGGCTCAGAGGCAAGCTTTATTTTCTTTTCACACCAACCCCCATAGGGTCCTTCAGCAGGCAAGTCTTTGGCCTCTTCCTCTCTTGCATGCTCTTCTTTCTTTCCCATTGACTCGTCTTAGAAGACATATTGGGTTGGCTTACTAACCCAAGTTTCTACTATTCTATTGGGTGCATCTACCATCAAATTTAAGTGTTTATTTCTACTTGTGCCTGCACAGCCTCATCACTCATTCTGTCCTTGGTTTTTGAAGGTCACCAATGCCTTCGTTTCTTGATAAATATAGAGTCCTTTATTATCTTAGGTCTTGGGCACTATTTCTCACTACTGCTTTTTTGTGTTTGTTTGTTTTTTAAACACTCTTTCTAATGCATCATAATTTCCTTTCTACCTTTTTGATCCAATTTGCTGGCTTCTTCAAATGGAGTTCTATATTGTGATCTCCATGTAAATGGCCTGCTGTTTCCATAAATTCAAGGTCACATCCAACTCATTCTTTTCCTGTTTCAAACCTTCATGTCCCAGTTATTGCCTCTAGCTTTTTTAAATTTGCCAGTGCCACTAATACCTCATTCACCCAGACTGGAAAACCATGGGCCTCAACTTTGTCTATCTTCATTCCTAGTATAAATTTCTAAGTATGGTTCAGTTTTTAAAAAACATTTGTTAACAGCTATGCTTTCTTCCTCATTTCAGCTTCTATTCAATATTCCCAAATTAGTCTTTTTTTCTGCTCCATTATTCACACTATTTCTAAATTTAACCACTGGAACTTTAAAATATATATATATGGTGTGGTTTTTTTTCTTTTTTAATTTCATAGAGAGGGAGAGAGAGAAACATAAATAATGAGAGCGAATCATTAATAGGCTGCCTCCTGCATGCCCCCTACTGGGGATCAAATCTGAAAGCTGGGCATATGCCCCAACTGGGAATCAAACCCATGACCTCCTGATTCATGGGTTGATGTTCAAGCGCTGAGCCACACCCGCCGGGCTGAAACTGTTTTATTATACCATTTACTTGCTCCAGAACCACAAGCAGCTTCTCTAGGTCACAGGAGCTAATCCAGATTTCCTCAGCCTGGCAGTCAGACCTTTCTATAACTGGTTTTATTCTACTTAATAAAACCCATTTCACTGTAGGTTTTTATCTCCCAAAATTTAGGGTTTTTTGGTGAGTCTTTTTCATATATATCTATACTAATAAAAGGGTAATATGCTAATTAGACTGGGAGACCTTCCCGGAGACCTTCCGGACAAAACCATGGCGGTGGGGCCGAGGCAGAGGCAGTTAGGGGCGATCAGGCCAGGAGGGGAGGGCAGTTGGGGGCGAGCAGGCTGGTGGGGGGAGCAGTTGGGGGAGAGCAGGCTGGTGGGGGTGGGGCAGTTGGGGGCGAGCAGGCCGGCAGTCAGAATGGTTAGGGGCAGTCAGGCAGGCAGTCAGGTGAGCGGTTAGGAGATAGCGGTCCCGGATTGCAAAAGGGATGTCCCGGATTGGAGAGGGTGTAGGCCGGGCTGAGGGATCCCCTGCCCCCCTGCACGAATTTCGTGCACCAGGCCACTAGTATATATATAAAATAATCTCTATGTCAGAGGTTCAACTTCCTAGTTGATGCTGATTTGGGGACCACACTTTGGGAACCACTGCTATAGTCCACTCATGTGTATACCCTTAAATGGCTTTCTATGAGGTAAGTTCAACTACCCAAATTCAAGTTCTCCCTCCACCATTTATTAGCTCGATGCTCTTAAACAAGTTACTTAACCTCCAGATGTCAGACTCTTCATCAGTAAAGTGGGATGGGTAGGACTATTGAAAACAGAACTTACTTAATATGGGTAGTGCGGGTGAATTTCCCGCCAAAATATAAGATGGCTCTGTCTTTTGGTTTTGTTCCATCCACCAAAAGGCTTTTTTTTTTCTTTTGCTCCTTTTTCAGTAATGCCTCCCCAATTAATAGAATTGTGCAAATCGTTCATCAGTAAAGTGGGATGGGTAGGACTATTGAAAACAGAACTTACTTAATATGGGTAAAGTACAAAGAATAGTGCCTGATAAATTATAAGCACTTTGTAGGTATTAACTGTAATTTTTTGTCCTTTTGTTCTCTGACTTTTTTTTTCTTTTGCTCCTTTTTCAGTAATGCCTCCCCAATTAATAGAATTGTGCAAATCGGTGGCAATTCCATACCAAGAGGAAGTGGCTCTGGATTTAAGCCATTTAAAAGCGGGCCTCCACGACGATTCTGAAAATTAGCTCTCTGCCATGGTTTCAAAATAATTTATTGAAATCTCCAGTAAACTTTATTTGACTACTTATGAAGAGGACCTCTGACTTGCTTGAGAGTTCGTTCAGACTTTTCTTTATTCCCCTTTTTTAAATTTTACCATGATTGCTTTTCTCAATTTTGGAGAAGATGTTTAAATAGTTCTGTTGTAACTTTTAATAGTTTTGTGTATCATTCAACTTTTTTTTCTTGTAGCACCGAGACACATTGGAAAAGATTGTAATCAAACCATTTTATTACCGTGTGAATAGAAAGGGTAGTTTGCAGCTGTGTGGTGGTAGTTTCATTTGCAGCCTGGCTCTGGTATCAGGCTATAGAGTTACATGTCACCGAGCATTTTCAGCCTCCGTTTTGAAGGCTGTATAAGCTGAAAAGGTCTGCTGTCTAATTTTTAGAGAATACAATTGTTCCTTGCATTTCTGAGTATTATGTAACCTATTTTTTGCAGAAGGTACTGTTACATGAAGTACATCTGTGTACCCTGGTTTTAAAGAATGTACTCTTTTTGAAATAAACCTTCATATTCTGTATAGTTGCTAAAGCGTTGAGAACCTTCTTAACTGTAAGGAGAACCTGAGAACCGAGTTTCAGTTTAGCATAGCAGCATCCTTGTTCAGGTTTGCATGGTGTGAGACCAGACAGGTTAGTGAAACCTTGGCGGTGAGGTTGGTATCACTGAGGTTCTTAGGATGAGTTGTGCAGGTAAGTGCACTTTTAGGTAATCTGTACTGTTTGATGGATAAATTCCAACTCTGGGAATTATGTGGGTATTAATGTTTCCATGTTCCCAACCATGTTGAGAAGTGGAAAAAACCCAGGTTCTAGATGGGTGAATCAGTTGGGTTTTGTAAATACTTGTATGTGGGAAGGCAATGTTGTCTTTTTGTGAAAATAAAAGTCCACACCTGGAAGTGTATGTGTCTTTGTTTCCAGCTTTCTAGGCGTTAGTCCTCCAGCCCTCTCTGGAGTTAAACCCAAAGTAATGGACAAGGTTTAGAGCAATAAAGGCAGTCTTTTGGTCTTTGTTCCTGAGAATAAGTCTAAGTTTGACTCTTCACCTCAGTAGCTGGACAGTACAGTCTTTTTTGAAGTGTTAGAGATGCATCCACTAATCTTAGGGCTTTTTTTTTAAGGCATCTTTTCTAAGAAGCCCCTGAAGGTAAATTCTGAAGACCGTCTCTTAAAGCCTCCCATATACCTTCATATAAATCAGTGATACATAATCCATATGTCCTAGGTTCTTGGTAAGTTAAGCAATCTTGTATGTTCATACAAAGTAAAAGATGGGAGGAAGTTCAACTATCCAAGTTCAAATTCTTCCTCCACCATTTATTAGTTCTGTGATCTTTTACAAGTTGCTTAACCTCCAGATCTCAGGTCTGAGGTCACCTTTTTATTTGAAGAGGAGTCTTTATTCAAGTTCTTACAAATGTTACTGTGTGGATGTGGTCATGCCCATGAGATGGCTCAGACTTCTGAGTGCTTTCGGCAGCCACCACACCCTGGTCTTTGGCCCTTTGGAGAGCTGGCACTTTGTGTATTCTCTGGATCTCATAGAGCCTTTGCTGCCCTTCCTAACCCTACAACTGTGGAAGCAAGTGGAGTGTGTGTGGGGGGGTGTTACTTCATTTCCTGATCCCCACACTGTAGAATGGCACGTAGACACCTCAGTATAGGAATGAACTAATTTCAGCTTTGCCTTCTCTTTGTAACTTGGGTTATTATATCACTTCTAGTCCGTTTGCTCATTTATAGAGTGGAACGATTACAAGCAATTACAGTGGAACCTTGTTTTACAAACTTAATTCATTCCAGAAGGCTATTTGAAAACTGAATCATTTTTTCCCATTAGCAACAATATAAACTGAATTAATACTTTCCAGACCCCCAAATGGTCCTGTTTTAACCTTTCTTATGTATAGTACATGTCTAATATACTGTCTATAAATAAACACTTTAAAAACAAAAAGGACATGAAATGTAAATGAAAATTTAACAAAAAGGAAATGTACAATAAAAAATGAAAATTGCCCTAGCTGGTTTGGTTCAGTGGATAGCATGTCAGCCTGCAGACTGAAGGGTCCCTGGGTTCAATTCCAGTCAAGGGCACATGCCCAAGTTTGCGGGCTCAATCCCCAATAGGGGGCTTGCAGGAGGCAGCCAATCAATGAGTCTCTCATCATTGATGTTTTTATCTCTCCCTCTCTGAAATAAATAAAAAATATTTTGTTTAATGTATTACATATGTCTCCTTTTTCCCTGATTGACCCCCCCCCCCACTACTCCCAAACCCCAGGACAAGCCCCCACCGCCCCTGTGTCTGTGTCCATTGGTTATGCAAATATGCATGCATACAAGTCCTTGGGTTGATCTCTAACCCCCCTGCTCCTAAAAATATATATTTTAAAAAAGGAAACAATAATAATAAGCAGCAAAAAAAACCATGAAAATATTCACAGCACAATATCCTGAGATTTTAACAGTGGTAAACTGAGTCACATGCACACATTCTCTCCTTTGTCACCTGAGAGACTTGTGACTGATAATATAGCTATCAGCATGAAAGGGCTGTCAGGTTGAGAAGCTAATTGTTCGAGATGGGAGACATTCGAGAATTGAGGTTTGATGGTACATTGTTGCTAACATCTGCTAAGCAGTTTAAGTGTACTGGTTAATGCGGATTTTGTAATAAAACACGATAATTTCAAGAGAAACATCAAAAGTGCTTTATTCAAAGTAATGTCCATTGCTAGCTACACATTTCCCACATCTTTCAGGTAATTTGTGGATACCATCCCAATAGAACTTATCTTGTTTTGAGTCAAACCATTCAGAGACCCAATTTTCTGCTTCGTACGTTTTGAAGTGCTGCTCAGAAAGTGCATGTGCCATCGATCTGAATAAGCGGTAATCTGAGGGAGCAAGGTCTGGTGAATACAGCAGGTGGGTTAATACTTCCCAGGCAAGATCTTTTAACGTGTCTTTAACTGGTTTTGAAGTGTGTGATGGTGCATTATGAAGCAAAATTACTTTGCCGTGTCTTCTGGCCCATTCTGCTCGTTTTACAATCAAAGCGTGGTTCAAATTGATTATTTGTTGTCGGTAGTGATCAGTATTAATGGTTTCACCCGGTTTTAGAAGCTCATAATACATCACACCTTCCTGATCCCACCAAACGCAGAGCATTGTCTTCTTTCTGAAGCAATTTGGCCTTGCAGTCGATGTTGATGGTTGACCTGGATCAACCCATGATTTTGTGCATTTGGGATTCTCAAATCCACTTTTCATCACCGGTCACAATTCGATGCAAAAAAAAACTTTCATGCCATTGAAGCAATATTTTACTGATGACTTTTTAGTTTTCCATTTGTCTTTCGTTCAGTTGATGTGGCACCCGTTTTCTTTCCTTTAAAATCTTCCCCATTGCTTGTAAATGACCAGAAATTGTTTGCTGAGCAACGTTTAATCTTTCTGCAAGTTGTTTTGAATTTGACACGCATCTTCATCCAATAATGCTTGTAATTGTTGGCCTTCAAACTTTTTCGGTTGACCTGGACGTTCTTTTTCTTTCACATCGAAATCATCACTTTTAAAGCGTTTAAACCAGCGTTCACAAGTATCTTGAGATGGAGCATGTTCACTATAAGTTTCCCAAAGTATACGATAACTTTTTTAAAAAATAAGTAATGAATTAAAACTTCCCGCAAATGCCCTTTTTTTGGCACGAAATTCAAAATTTTTAAGCGTAAAAATATCTATGATGTTAACACCTTCACAAAATTTAACATGAAGTTCTGAAGCTTGCTGTCAATATAACAAAATAGCATACATATCAAATCACATATAAACATAATGTGTAACTCCATCTATTGAAAAAAATCCGCATTATTAACTGGTACACCTAGTATGTGCAGGGCAGTATGCTAAGCATTTTGAGTGCACTTGCTTGCCTAATATTCAAGAATCCTGCCTAGCCATAGGTACCAGTTACTGTCCTACCCCTTTTTCAGATGGGTATCTGAGAAGTGACCTGCTCTTGAAAAAGCTATACCATGGCAACCTGATGAAAAAATAATTACCCACACTGTCTATATGTGTAGAAAAATTTGAACAAATCAACAATCTAATTTTTTAAGTTGAGAAAACCTGACAAAACCACCTTCTGACACGGCAGTGATGTTGGAAGTAGCTCCTCAAGGATCAGAGGCAGCAGTTACAGAGATCTGGCTGGTCAGTTGTGAAAACCAAGTTTAGAGATCTTATAAAGAAAGCTGGGTTCCTCAAAACCAAGAGAAAGGGAGAAATTTTGCTATTCCCCACATACTGGATGAACAATCCAAAGGTTTCACCACAGGGTAGAAGGTTTTGATGATTTAGGAGCAACAGCTCACAGTGGTTCAAGAAAGAGCCAGTCTTAGTAAGCTTGGGCAAGACACTGAAGCCAGAAACTACATGTGGCAAAAATAGCTAAAAAAAAGAGGAAAGCCTCAGTATCAAAGGAAAATTTCCAAACTCTCAGACACATGAAGAACAATTAAAGACCCTCTGCCTGTATTTCTATCCCTTGCTAGATTGTCCCTTAACTCAGTTCCTCCAATCTTAAGTCAGTCCCAGTAATTAAATACCTACTGAATCCTTATGGAAAAAGTCAAATTTTGCATTTTTTTTCTAATCCCGAGGACATACTTACTAATTTTCGAGATAGGGGAAGGGAGAGAGAGAGAAATATCAATTTGAGAGAGAAACATCAATTGGTTACCTTCCCGTATACGCCCGACTGGCGACCTAGGTTACTTGCCGTGCCTGACTGGGAGTCAAACACGCAACCTTGAGTACAGACGACACTCCAACCACCTGAGCTACACCAGCCAGGGCTTACTTTGCATCCTTTATAAAGAACTTCATCTATTCCAATTCCTTACCTAAAGAATCCAGTACCTCCAACGAATTTAATTGGCATTCCTCTAAAGCACTTGGGTTTTTTTTTTTGTTTTTTTTTTTAAAGAATTGACATTCTTTTCTTTAAAAAATAATATTTTTAGCTCTAGCTGGTTTGGCTCAGGATGCTATCTATGATCAACTTGGCTTACCTGACATGGCTATTGTAAGGATTTAAATGGGAAAATATGTATGGAATACTGAAAAGATTCTGTTCATTATTTCTCTTGTCCTGTTATGCTCTCTGATTTTAAAACAAAAGAGAAAAAGTTCATCTGTAAAGGTTGCTGGTTAACTAGAGAACTGGTACCATTGCTGACGGGACAAAGTCTGAGGTTTGACTGGGTGAGATGAGCCAGTAGCTCTCAAGCCTGGGTCCTTTCTAACACCAAACATTCATGAGTGGGACCTAGGAATATTTTTCTGCAGAAGTTCCCCAGAGGGTTCATAGGTGCATATTTAATATTTTGAATGCTATTTTAAGCGGTATCTAAAATGGTTAACTTTTTATTGTTCATTGCTAGTACAGAGAAACATAACTGATATTTTTATATTGGCCCTTTATTTTAGATGCTTCAGGGTTTTCCTTGTACACCATTGTGTCTTCTGAAAGCCAACTCAACAGTATATCTTCCTTTCCAATCAAAATGTCTTTCCCCCCTTGCTGTTTTGCATTGGTTAGTAGCCAATAAAATGTTGATTGGGAGTAGTGAGGGCAGACACTTTTGAATAGTTCCCAATTTTAGGGGAAAAACATTTAGTTTTTTTCAATATTAAGTATGATGTCGAGTTTTTCATTTATACCCTTTATGAGGTTGAGGAAGCTCCTTTCTATTCCTAATATGCTAAGAGTTTTTATTATAAACTAGAGGCCCAGTGCACAAGTTCGTGCACAGGTGGGTTCTGGTGACCTGCCCTGATCAGGGCCAATTGGGCCAGGCCAGCCAGGGGGAAGGGATGTGGGAGGTTGGCC